TCACCCTCTCGCTACCTGACTTCTCGGTATCTGCAGACTACGAGAGAGAGAGATTGGTGACTTTGGGACTTGACGACATTTGGATCCAGACTCGACATTGGGATTCAGACATTTGACGAGGGATTATTTGGGACCTGTACCGAAGACTTGGTGTTGACGACATTCCCATCTTCCCCTCTCTTCTTCGTCTAACCCCCCTCTTTTTCGTCTGTGTATGATTGGGGACTGGCGCATTCTTCCTGTGTGAGCGCCAGGCCCCTTCACACCATGGAATGATGACGATGTATGTTTGGTCTGCATGGCAACATTGATTGTTCGGATCATTGGTATTTAAGCCTTCTGCTGTGCGATCTTGTACTATGTGAGAGAGGTCTGTTCTTGTTCTGGTCTGTACCGTTACGGTATGCGACATACATAGTCACTTTTAGTAAGTTTTTACTATCTTTATGCGATATGTAGTCGCTTTTAGCAAGTTTATATACACATCCTGTCTGCTGTTTGTTCGTGTCGCCTAAAGAAATCTGGTAGTCATTTGCTCCTGTCGCCTGAAGGAACCTGCTTGTCGTTCATGATCCTGCAATGCCTTGGCCCTTGTGAAGAATATTCTCAGGAAGGTCCATTTTTTAACTTTTGGTAAGTTTTAATAGTTCTTAGTACTCGTTCCAATACAAACTTTTTACAAAGTTGACATATTTTCATACATTCCCGGCTCAGCAGAAGGTCTACTATCTCAGACTGCAAGCTACTTCAGCCCGACCAGGAGACTATGTAGCTGCCTCATTTTGATGAGATTGCTCTGAGCACTGTGCACAGGAGTAGATAAGCTTGATGCAACCCATAACTGCGATCAGTGGTGTCTGGGAAGCCCTTCCAAGTTGTCATGGAAGATAGAATTGTCTGTTTGCCAAACTGCCAAATGAGTGGTGTTATCGTGTTATCGTGTGGTCCTCACCGGTTCGATCGCCGCCGATAGTCATCCTTCTTGCGTTTCATAATGTCCTCCAACTTCCCGAATAGACGCTGTAGGAGAAGGCCCCCACGCTCCACCCACCCCTCCCCACGCCGTTTCCCTCCACGTGTCCCCTCCGACGCAACCAACATGCACAGGGACACACATACACACACACATGTGCTGGTATTATAATGATGTTGTTTACACATCCGCTTGCAAAGTTGAATTTTCTTCACGGATTGAGATTTAAGTATCTTTCCATCCATAGCCGTGTTGTGTGCCACACAGAGCTTAGTTCTGTGAGACAGCTACATTTGTGCGGTTCTTGCAATGTAGTGTGGCATGTTTTGAACTTTTTCTTCCTGAAATGGTGCTTGTCAATACAAGGAGGGGTCTACTCAATTACTGTCTCATTATTTCTTTTGTGCAAGTACGATGAGTGACGCACCCCCTGCGTGCCGAAATTTGCCGAAGCGCCAGCATGACATTTTTCTTTTTGTTCTGGCTGGCAGCCGCAGCCATTTCTGCCCGGTTGCCCCGAGCCCTGAAAAGCCCCGAAAATTTCAGTGGTGGCAACGAGTTCCTTTTCTGCAAGGCCCCGGCCTTGTACTGGTGGTTTAGCAACTTCTCTTTCCTCCAGCTTTTCTTTGCCTTTTCTCTCCTTTGTATTATCCCCCCACACCACCATTTCCTGAAATGGTGCTCGTGAATGTAGGGAGGTGTCTACTAATTCTTTTTCCTTGTGTGCAAGTGCATGTCAAGTGGATGTGCAAGTGCGCGTCCCCACACAAACATGGTAACCTTGGACTCTGCAGGGGTTTGTCCTTGGTCTGTTGTGAAACAGAGTTACAACTCAAAACTCGTCTATCATAAGATCCAGCCTCTAGATATGTACAACTCAGACATTATGCAGTTACGAGGCCATTGCATTTTGGCCGACACCTGAACTCGATACTAGTCCTCGGTGTGACCTTGCTGTGTTAAAGGTTCAACCTCCCGCTTCCATTTTCACCCCCTCAAGGTCAGCATGTTGTGAGTGCGTGCCCCGATTTGCTTGTTACTCTGCTTTCCACCTTCTCGGTTTTCCAGCTTTTCTTTGTCTCTTCTCGCCTTTGGATTGCCCCCCCCCTTCTCTCCCCACCTCTTCTTTCCACTGTGTGTTGCCCCTAACATGATTGTATTCATCTGCTTCAACCAGGTTCAAACTCGTGATCTGTTTACAAACGGCCACATCAACTGGGTTTTGGATCGTTTTTTTTGCTCTTGTCTCAATCCTCTTTCTGTTGTGATCATGTGCTTGCAATAACCCAAGTTCAGCGTAGACGCAGACCAGGGGTCATAACTTGTGGTCAAAGGTCCGCATAAGGGGGCAAAAGTCAAGCCCAAGTCTGAGAAGAGTCGGGGAAAAAGGCCTAAGGCCATGGGGTACCCCAGGCCAAGTCAAAAACGGCCTTCAGAGACCCTAAGGGCAACAGTTGACCTTGGGAAAGTCAACAGTCAACCCAAGTACGGGATCCAGGCAACAGTCAACCCAAGTACGGGATTCCAGGCCCAGTGGTCAAAGTCAACCCGCTGGTCAGCCACAGCCGTTGATCAGATGCGCACATCTTTGGTTGTCTGAAGGTATCAAGAAGATTCCAGTTTGACTGGGACACAAAGGGAGTCGGGACTGCGCTGCATCCAGGCCATAGGCTGCTGATTCATCTCGACGGTCGACCCTCAGGAGACCAAAGGCCGGTCAATGCGAGTCAACATTATAGAGTTGACCCAGCCCCTGCCTGTGATCATTCCGCCTTGCGCTGGCTTGATGCTGGTTCAACGACGCAAGGCTACGGGAGCTTTATGCTGGCGCCAGTGTCTGAGATTGGGCGCCAGCCAGGAGGGAGATTATGCTGCTGCGGCCGTAGCTGCGTGGAGTTGACCTCAATAGGAGAGGAGGTGAGGAGGAGGGGGATCTGGACTATGTAGTTGACGTGTGTGATGAGGGGAACCTTACCTGGACTTACCTGTTACGTGGAGTGTGATTTGCTACTCGTCTTCAAGTGGACCTGCGCCATCCTCGTTAGCTGCTGTTGACGTGGAAGGAGGATGGGCGCATTACTTGTGACCTGCGCAAGTACATATCAGAGATCGTCAGAGGAGTACCGATTTCCTGAGTTGGCGTTAGTGGGAGACGCCCGAGGAGAAAGTGGGCAAGAGGAGGGAACTACTTCGCTATAAGGGACTCTCCTTCTCCTCTCCTTCTATCTGTCTTCTCCCCCCCGCCTCTCATTCTCTTCTCTGGGTTATGGGATGATGAGAGATTTCATGTACTTGGACTTGTAATCAATTTTTGGAGACATCATTATTGCGCTGAGTCAGACTTGCATCACGACATGTTTGAGCTTCTTATCTGATTGGGTTCATTACATGCTTCTAAATCAAACTTGAAACTTTGGGAGTTTAATATGAGCCTTGTCGCCTTTTTGCCATTTATGTTCACCCCTCAGTATCTGATACTCACCTATCCTCAGATAAAATTTAAGGGAGAGGGGGTACGGGGGGGGGGGGGAGGAATATATCACCTTGAAGCTCTTGCGGTCAATCGATACAACTTTGACTTTTGTGAGCGCTGTGACCGTCGCCTTCCTTGGTGCGTCATTGAGAAGAGCGAGTTCCCCAAAGTAGTCTCCTCTTTTGTACTTCACAGAAAATGTGCCACCAGTCCTCGCCTCTGCTTCGCCCTGCAAATGTCAGTATCAGCAACCGTAGTGACAAGCACCAGCCAATTTTAGGAACAAATCAGATTGCCTTTTTCTTGCGTGTGGAGTCTGCTCAACAATTTCATCTAAAAGTGGAAGCAACCCTACTGCTTTACATTGCATCAAGGCCAGGGAACTGCACAATCTGCCCAGGATATAGAATTCGGTTGATTAGTCGACCAGTCGCCTGCTGGGCAGGCCTACTACTCCGCCATTCCACCGTGCCAGGGCAGCCACTCAAGGCTATGGGGGCCCAGTTTTGACTGCAACTGATGTCCAGGAAGCAGTTCGATCGCACACTTTGATAACTATAGGTGACCTTACGGCCGCCCTCAAAACCACATTTGTAAGCTGACAGTTTTTCCATGCCGTTGAAGATACTTGTAGTGAAGAACTTGCTGCGAAGACGTCCCTGCACTACTATCTTCACCCGAATAGAACGACTGGTCATTATAGCCGTATTTGGTGCACTTTCAGTCTACATACAGCGATAATGACCGGGCATTCTATTCGGGTGCAGACGGTAGTAACTCAAATTGAGAGAAGGAGATCCCCCTGACTTCTCCTTTAACAATGCTGTTGCGGCAGCTGCTACAGCTTCTACCCGGCAGACATCAGAACTCCACCCAGATATTCTGTACTGTGGCCAATCCATGGCAACCAACAAAACTAACTCAAGGGTAGTACGTGTGAGGCCAGGATTTCCCAGCCATTTTTCTACAGATACGGCGATACATCACTTAATTAAGCCATGAATAGAGTCGAAGAGTTCCATCGCTAGGGTCCAAGAGTCAAGCCTAGATGGTTGTAACAAGCGGTCTCAGGACCTTGCAAGATGGTCATCCATCACACGGCTCCCTCACACACGTTGCCTTATTGCTTATCTTCAGCTCTGACATTGTTCACTCAAAGGGAAGAAACTTCAAGAAAGTTATACGTCCCTGGACCAATTAACCACAGCAAAGCACTACATCCTCTGACCTCCCAACCCAAAGGAAGATGCTCATTTACCACCTGCAAATCCAGAAATCAGTTACTTTGTCCCTACAATTCATGACTGGAAAAAAAGCTGTCACTGGATCACTCCAGCTGATAGCTAGTAGTGACTTGGCCACATGCATTTTGATCAATGGACTCAGCACTTGCTTCAACCACCCTAGATTGCTGTATTGGATGTCCGTTCGTTTGGGAACAAGTTCAGGATGAGGTAGCAGATTGGAAAGGGTAGTCAAAGTCAAGCCACAACTGGGTTGCTGATACTCAGTTCTCGGAGAGAGAGAGAGAGAGAGAGAGAGAGAGAGAGAGAGGGCACATGTGGACACTTGTGTGGGCAGTACCATAGACGAGGCTGCTGTTGGGCTACTTGCCTGCGGATACTTGGCAAGCCACATGAAATAAAATCTGTTTTCTCAAACTTTCGTGCCATGAAATAAAATGTATGCTGATTTGCTAAGGGGTACGTCCCACTTACTTCCTCCAAGAAGTACATTTTGTTGCCAACTTCACCCTCGCGAATAATAACTTTTCCAGGGTCGAAGTATTCTGCCTCAAGAACATCAGCAATCGCCGATCGCTCGTACTTATCCAGTGACTGCAATGGGAAGAGGCCATGACCGGACAAGCAGTTAGAAACTGAAAGTGACACCCACCCACAATGATCACAAGCAGTGAGATTTTCTCTGCAGAATACTCGTGTTGGAAAAAAGGAAGGTTTACATACACACCTTTCAATGCTTTTTCTCTTTTGAAGAGATATCTGAAAGCACTCTTTTTTGAAGTTTTTCCTTTTCCCCTGAATAAAGTGTCAGACTTACAGGTCGTGGTAATTTTCTTACAGGTTGTGGTAACTTTCTATGTTTCAAAATTCAAACCACTTTTCACAGAGATTCTGAAGGACTCTTTATCTCCTTTTCCTCTGAAGGGTTGTCCGACCTTTCGTCTAATTTTATTGGCGATGTCAGATGTCCTACTCAGGCCCCTTTTCCGCAAGGGAACCCTTCTTTTCCTGAAGGGTGGTGCGTGGGAATCGGGGGGGTAGAAAGGGGGTGCATAGAAGGGGCTGGAATTCCATTTCACACAGCCTTTTCTATCCAACTGTTGGCCTTAGAATGTCTGGGACACTTTTTTTGTGCACCTTCACAATGGCAATCCATGCCCATTGTATTCTTATCTGGGATGACAAGAATACAATGTGAATGTATGCCAGTCTAAAGATGCACAGTGTCCCAGACATTCTTTTTTTTTTTTTTTTTTTTTTTTCAATGATCCTTCTGCAGGTTCACCTATGGAAACCTTGTTACGACTTCTCCTTCCTCTAAATGATAAGGTTCAATGAACTTCTCACAGCACCCCCGTCCCAGACATTCTAAGACCAACACTTGGACAGATTCAAGTACTGAGTCAAGGTGCACTGTGGCCAGTTTTGGATTCATGATAACTTTGCGGCCAGTTTTGGATTCATGATACTTCTTGCCTTATCCTGGCCAGTGTGCATCAGTTTCAGGTTGTCCCTACAGGCTCTCTATTGCCTTGCATCATAGCACAGGACAAACAACACGATGGAGGATCAAGGAGGTGTCAATCAGGCGCATTCTCAAGGACAAGACCTGGCCCGTGTAGTTATAGCACCTTCCCTGGACCCTTCCGAGCTACTCTGGTACGATGGCCCAGGAGAAGGTTATCGGCGCAGGACAAGTGACTACCGTTAGTTTCTATATAGTGAGCCCCTTCCTTGGAACCCTACTCTGGGCCTTTTGTAGTGAGCCCATTCAAATCCAGCTGCCCCTTGTAGTGAGTCCCTACCCTGGAACCCTACTCTGGGCCTTTTGTAGTGAGCCCATTTAAATCCAGCTGGCCCTCGTAGTGAGTCCCTACCCTGGAACCCTACTCTGGRCCTTTTGTAGTGAGCCCATTCAAATCCAGCTGGCCCTCGTAGTGAGTCCCTTCCCTGGAACCCTACTCTGGGCCTTTTGTAGTAAGCCCATTCAAATCCAGCTACCCCTTGTCGTGAGTCCCTACTCTGGGCCTTTTGTAGTGAGCACGTTCAAATCCAGCTGGCTCTTGTAGTGAGTCCCTTCCCTGGAGCCGTACTCTGGGCCTTTTGTAATGAGCCCATTCAAATCCAGCTGGCCCTTGTAGCGAGTCCCTTCCCTGGAACCCTGCTCTGGGCCTTTTGTAGCGAGCCCATTCAAATCCAGCTGCCCTTTGTAGTGAGCCCCTTCCCTGGAACCCTATTCTGGTATGATGGCCCAGGAGAAGGTCATAGGTGCAGGGCAAATGACCACTGTTAGTTTATATAGATGGCTAGCATGCAAGCAGCCAGTCTTAAAGATACCAAGGAAACAATGGGAAGGTGGGGTTATGCTCCAAGACTCCTTGCAGACTCGATTTGAGTTCCGAGATGAGAGGCAAGAGACTTAGTGCTGCAGCTTGGAGCATTGGATTGAAAGAGAGAATATCACCATAGCTAGGAGAACAGAGATAGGGAGGAATATCTCCCTCCTTGTTCGTGGTCTCCATACCCAGAGATTGACAGAGGTTATAGGCAACCAGTCGAGGTGACAGTTGTACAGGAAGAGCCACAGAAGGAAGAGTTGTGTCATTGAAGCAGAGGTTCTTGGGCAACAGCTGTAGTTCTGCCATCCTTCTTCTTCTCCTTGGTAGCCACAACCAGCCTGTATCTTCCTTGACCGGTAGTTGGTGTGGATTTTGGTGCCCTGATCTCCTCCATGTTCTCATCTAACGCTTGTCTGCATGATGTGACGGTTGATCGCTTTACGGGCATCACCACCGCAGCTACCCTTTCATAGTGGACGCATTATATCCATGGCGATTATGATTCTATGCGTAGATAGCGCTCATGGCATTGCAGCCCAGATGTCTGATCCTTTCTTTCTTTATTCCATATATGGTGTGCACGGTGCAGTATAGTACATAATGACAGTCATGTATGTGTATGGTATTCTGCCATATAATCTGACTATGTTTTTCCCACTATACACTAAAGAGAAATGTATAATCTTATATATATATATTTTATTATTTTGTCGTGTTTTTCCCCCTCAATTCACTAAAGAGAAATTCAGTCTGTGAATACTGAGCTAGAGCATCCAAATAATGGAGTCAGCCATTCACATCCCCTCTCCCTGAACATTCTCTCCAGCTGCTCTTCTGGACTAACATTCCCTCCAATTTCAGCAAACCAGTACGGTATGGGTATCCTCTGGTAAGAGAGGCGACTTTGTAAGCAATATGAAACAAGAGATGCAGAATCACGCTGGACTGGCCCTGGGATTCAATCCCATGTCCTGTTTGTTGTTTTCACGTCACATTTCTATGAAAGAAAAATGGCGATACCATGTCTCGAACTCGGGCAGGCTAGATGTTAGGCTATATAGGCTAGATAGGCTTGTTCATATTAGGCCTGCTTGCTACAGACTAGGCGGCGAGTGGCTACTCAGAGGCGGGTAAAGAATGCAATGCTGAAGGAGCAAGTGTCTCACAGGATCAGCCGCCTGGCGCAATGTGCTTGTCCCCTTGGTGCAGGGGCCAGGGATTGAACACAGCATCATTGGGTTGGCAGACCCGGGACTCAGGGTTAAGCAGATGGCAAGCTCACCTACAAGTCAGAGGGCATGGATGATTTCCTGTCACGGGGCACCCGATTGGACCAAGATAAAAAGCACAGAATAGGACAATGCCAGGCAGTACCGGGGTTGACTTCAGGGGTGCTGTATGGCTTCTAAGGAAGGCTGGGTCTATAGCTACAAGTATTTGCTGTTCACCTCTGTATGTCTGGAACTCACTGTACGAGGGACACCGGGCCCGGTTCCCAGCACGTTCTCCTCCCCACGAGTACGACCAGAGCCATCAACACGGCGAGCCCTACTGCGGGCCTGGGCTCTAGTCACGGCAGGCAGTAGGAGCTCCTCCAGCTGATGTTTTCTTTTAAAAAAAAAAGCATTAGTACTGCATTAGTCTCATTAGAGAAATTCTGTAGCACGGTGCAGTGTTGTGTGACCAGGTATTATGCAGTACAAATTGAGAGAATACTTTCCATGCGTTTTTTTTTATTTTTAATTTGGACTATTTCAGAATTTCTCAATTTATGTGTGTCATCCTTGCACAAGGGCCATGCTAATCTTCTTTCCCTGTATCGTTCCAATTTCAACAAATATCCCTGAAGGTGTTGAAATGAAGGGGGAGATTGTGTTGTGCCCGTATATTGCTGGGTGAGATAGACACAGCCCCAGATCTACTTTGCTCATGCTGCCAGGCGCCCCAGCGAACATAGTTGTCCACAGTTCTCGTGAAGCAATCATATGGGTGTATGAGCTGAAAAAACGTTTGTGAAGACAAATTTTCGGAATTGTTTTCCAAGTATGATCACGTGTGTGAATCTGGCAATCAAGAAGGGTGTTGTGCACGACTTTGAAGTGACGGAAAGTGAGTGATTCTTGTGCAATCCTAACGTGTCATCCATGCCATGCAAAAGATACTAGAGACCATTGCGATCATTCACTGCCACCCCTGGGCACACACACCTGTTACCGATTTCTGTACAGGTAATGACTCTACTAATGAGGCCTTATTGCCATTGTTTGAGGCCTTATTGCTGTAATATGTACTGAAGTACGTAAAGACAAGTCGATCTGACAACGATCATTGCATACTCGTCAGTAATCAATCTGATATAGATAAGTTCCATATCCTTTCAACACCTCACGTGTGATGAATGGTTTAGGATGCCCATGTTGCCTCAAGCCACCAGTACGCAGTGCGCACCAAGCTTTTCCGAACCGCAGCAGTGCACTTTGTTTCTTGTCTTTCGGCTGGCGACGCCAGCATTGTGTTCCGGTAGCCCCAAGCCCCAACAAGTTCGGAGTTGGCAACTCGCGATTTTCTGCAAGGCTGGGGCCGTATACTGGCGGTTTGAGCCAGCCACCAGTACCTCCGAGCCTCTTTTTGCCAAGGCAGATCCCACCTGCACGCCAAGATTTGCTGAGACACAAGTGTGGAGGTTTTTTTTTTTTGTTTCTTTTGGCTGGTGCCGCCAGCCATTTTGGTCCAGTAGCCCCGAGCCACCAGGATTTTTGGATCGGCTCGAATTCAATTTTCAAGTTTCCCTGTGCAGCGAGGTACTGGTGGTTTAAAGCACCAGTACATGCCAGCTATCGAGTGAGGTCCCCTTTTGGGGCTGGCCGCCCCCGATTCATTTTATCTACGGCGCTCAGCCTCCTAAATTTTCGGAGAAGCTCAAAACAGGTTCTCCAGTTGCCTGGGGCCATGTATTCGTTGTTTAACAGTTTCCTGAAGGGGATAAGTTTGCTTAATTTGGACCATTTCTTGACTTATGTGTGTCATCCTTGCGCAGGGGCCATGCTAATCTTCTTTCTCTGTATCGTTCCAATTTTAACGGATGTCCCGAAGGACACACCGTGAAGGTTTTTGCCAGCCACAACTGTTGGGTCGTGTTTCTGCCTGAAAAATATAGATGCCAAGGAACAAGGTTGGCAGGGACGTGGGAGGAGTAATTGTGAAGAAGAGGTAGGGTCAAAACTTTGTGACTATGTTCCACACCCAGGCAGCAGCCGTACAGAGGACATCAGGGGGGTGTGGAATTTCCTCTTCAAGGTTTTTAGAGGCCCGTATAGTGCAGATTGGGGAGTTATCGGGGTCTCATAAAGCTGGTGCAATCCCTGAGGAAGATAAGACACAAACTTCTGATATCTTCAATCCCAACTGTAAATCTTGCTAACTATTGCACACGCTGTTGAAGCATTCCTTCCATGGAATTTCCATCGCATTTCGCTAATTATCGAAGTGAACAAGTATTACTTCAAAGTTCAAAGTGGCTTTGTGTAACATTATGCTTTTGTTATGTTAATCGCGCTAACCATATTTATTACCATCAACCTCTTCAGACCTATTGTACATGGTGGGAGACTCAGAATCCCATAAGAAAACATCAGAAGCTTGAAAAAATACTTCAAAAAGGCAAGTAAAGGCCCACAGTATGTCACACAGATTGCCACACCAAACAACATGTCATAACTATGATTTCGAAAAGGTTCGGATGTTAGTTTTGGATCGGATTTTAGTTTGAGAATTGATTGATAAGGCAGACACTTAAGGGCTTACCTTCAGAAGAGGGACATCTTCCAAGAACTTCTCGTACATGTCACGCTTTGCTCGAGTTGTCTGCATAAGGATCACCTTGAAGGTGTTTCTATCCATCGCCCATGTCAACACATCTGTTACAGCCTGTGCCAACAGGTGTGTTAGCTTCAACTGTGTCGGGGGGGTGAGTGAGGTTGAGGTCAAAGGCTCAAAGCCAAACCATTATTTCCACCAAACCTCAAGCATCATATGGCTAAGGGGGAATAGTAACAAATACTAGATTGCAGCAACTGCTCAAGTGATGTAAAATGCGCAGAAATGTACGGATTCCAATTAACAACTCCGCTTCTGAGTCCTTGTATCACCTTGCTCCTCCCACGTTCCTTGAAGAAAAAACAAAAGGTTTTGATGATTTGATCAGTTCATGCCGGTCGCTGCACCTGCAAAAGCAGTGTCATAGATGACGGAAAACATGGAAAGGGATGGGGGGGGAAACCGAAACAAAAAACTTTGGAAAAAAAGCATAAGAAAAGAAACTGTAGGGGGAATTTCCCTCTCTCTCTCTCTCTCTCTCTCTCTCTCTCTCTCTCTCTCTCTCTCTCTCTCTCTCTCTC